TCACTCACCCTCTCTCTGGATGGTGTGGAAAACTGAGCAAGCTAGGCTAATCCTCACACACAGTGTGGGTGGTTGAATGAGGTGGCCATTCCTTCTACGGCCAACCATCTATCCTACATAGGCCAGAACACAATGACAAGTGACTGAGCAGATATCTGTTTGATGATGATGATTATGATGATGTATTTATACCCCACTCTTCAGCCAAAAGGCTATCAGAGCGTCTTACAAATGGTCAATTAGACATTTCCCTGCCCTCAGGCTTACAATCTAAAAAGACAAGACACAAAAGGAGAAGGGAATGGTGGTGGGAAAGGAGAATAAGTCCAGCAGATCTTCTCTCCAAGCCTGGACCAAGGCAGATGGACTGGAGGGAGGGCCTTCGTCTTACTGTGGCTAGGCCTGATGGAGTTGGCCTGTCTTCTCTCTCTCAATGATGGTGGATGGAGGGAGGGCCCTTCTTGTTCAGGCAAGCCCCGATGGAGCTGGCCTGCAGGACTGTGGGCCCAATTCTTCTTGCTGTGGTGCTCTTAAGAGGTGAGAAAGAGAAAGGAAGCAGGAATAGCCTTGCTTACTTATTTTCCTGCCTACCCATAGAATTGTGAAAGCTTAGAGGATAGATAAATGGCAGCAAGGGATGGGGGCTTCACGTGTAAAGAGTTCATGGAGCCTCTTCTTTTCTAGACTTTGCTGAAGGAAGAAAGAAGATCTTATTTTATTTTTTCATGACTTCTCACCAAGTAGGCTGTACTGCACATCTAGGCAAGGAAAATGAGACGTGCAAAAAAAAAAGGATGGGTGACACCTGAAATCAATACATAAGAAAAGAATCTAGGGGATCTTGGTAAACCACAAGCTCAATGTGAGTCAAGAGTTTGATGCAGCAATCAAACAGGATGATGCAATTCTAGACTGCATCAACAGAGGTATAGCTTCTAGATCAAGGGAAAGAGTAGTACCACTCTAGCCTGCTTTGGTCAGACCTCATCTGGAATACTTTGACCAATTCTGGGCACCACAGTTGAAGAAGGCTATTGATAGGCTGGAATGTGTCCAGAAGAGGGTGATTAGAATGACTAAAGGTCTGGAAACCAAGCCTTATGAAGAACGGCTTAGGGTGCTGGGTATGTTTAACTTGGAGAAGAGAAGAGTGAGAGGTGACGTGATAACCACCTTTAAATATCTGAAGGAGTTTCACATGGAAGATGGAGTGAGTCTGTTTTCTCCTGCTCTAAGGACTATAATATGAACCAACGGATTCAAAATACAAGAAAAGAGTTTCCATTCAAACATTAGGGAGAACTTCTTTACTTTAAGAACAGATATACAGTGAAGTGGACAGCTTCAGATGATGGTGGACTCTCCATCATTAGAGGCCATAGAACAGATATTGGATGGCCATCTCTCAGGAATGCTTTAGCTGTGTATTCCTGCAAGGTAGGGAGTTGAGTTGGACTAGATGATGATGATGATGATGTTGAATTAATTAATTAATTAATTTCTATACTACTTTCCTCCCAAGACTGAGACTCAAAGCGCCCTTTGAGGTACTTTCCAACTCTACAATTCTATAACACAGCCACAGTGGTCACAAAGTTAGACCTAGATGAGGAGAATCCTAAATAATTTCTAACTCACCTAGCTTGAAGAAGTTTAAATTCAGCACAGCCCCAGCTGGTCTAGTGTTGGTTCTGCTGGACCCTGGCCAGCTAGGACTTCACTAATGTTCAGCTTCTCTAATAAGTAGTTTCATACCACAAAATATTTGAAGTTAATTGTCATGGTTCCATCCTGTGGTATCCTGGGATCTACAGTTTAGAGAGTGCTAATTAGACTTCTCAGCCTCTAGAGCTCTAGTGCCTCACCAAACTAAAAATTCCACGATTCCACAGAATTTAGCCACAGCCATTAAAGTGGAATCATAGTGCTATAATCATGTAGACTGAAAGTTCCTTAGTAAGGCCATGAAACCCACTGGGTAACCTCGGGCAAGTCACATGCTCTCAGCCTCAGGGGCAGGAAATGGCAAACTCCTCTGAACAAATCTTGCCAAGAAACCCCCACCCCCCCAATGACAGGGTTACCTTAGGGTCTCCATAAATTGGAAATGACTTGATGGCACACAGCACACACAAGTTCCCTGTAATGAAGCAGGGTCTTTCTGGTTTAGGTTGCCAAGAGAGATATTACAGGAGAGACAAAAGATTTGCTAGCTATCAACTATTGTGATGAAACAGACTCTGTTCCATGAAAGTTTATGGCACATGTTAGGATTCTCTGAACAGGTGTTTTTTTGCTTTTCCATTTAAAATCCCCGCTTTAGTGCTCTACATTACAGAGGAGTGCTCAAATTACACAACTTTCAGTCAGCCCCTTAACTACTGTTTTATGAAAGCTATGGGGAGGATTGGGGACGTAGAGTTCCTGGATTTCATTAACTCACCTCACTCCAATAATTTGAGAACTGGGGCTGATAGGATTACCAGAGTGAAAACTAATCAGTTGTTCTCCTTTAAAGGTTGTGTAGACGGGTGAATTTTAGCAGGTGTTGCGTGTTGCTTGGTTACACAACAAGCAACATCTGCTGAAATTCCCTCAACCATTAAAGCAGGGGTAGGCAACCTTTTCCCTTTAAGGGCCAAGGGACTTCAATTCCCAGAAGCCTCAGCCATGTTAGCCAATAGCTCCTGGGATTCTGGGAGCTGAAGTCCCTTGGCCCTTAAAGGGGAAAGGTTGCCTACCCCTGCATTAAAGGCATTGGAGCCATCCCCAGTTTTCAATTTGGCAACCTTAGTTGAGGTGTCTACCATCTGCATTTGACAAGGGCTGAAAATACTCCAAAACTTGGTGCCGTTCTTTGGTGAGCAGCCTCACCGCCTCCTTCTCAAACTGAAAACTGAAGAAGGCTCTTCTATCTTTTGTGTGGAAGAGGGAATTTCGGCAGGTAATGCTTCTTGACAAGCAACTCTTGCTGAAATTCCCTCCTCTGCACTACCCTTAAAGAAGTGATTCCCAAAATTTGGTACTCTGGGTGTTTGGGACTCAAAGAATCATAGAATTGGAAGACACTACAAGGGTCATGCAGGAACTCACAATCAAAGGTGAGGGTGACGAGACACATCCTCCTTTTCCAGGACATTTCCTCCACTTCAACCTTCTATCCAGGAAGAATTCCAAAATGATCTCCATTTTGAGCATGACTAAGAAGCACAAATTTATATTCATATTAGTGTTTTTAGCTTTTATTTGGTCATGTTCTCCATTTTTCTTGAGAATGTCCCGCATTTTGTGGTGCCTTGTCATCCTTTGCAGTCATTAGGGCATCTGGTCACCCTGTTTGGACTCCAGCTCCCAGAAGCCTCAGCCAACTTGGCCAACAGCTGGGAGCTGAAGTTCAAAACATCAGGAGGGAGGATCAAAGTTTGGGAATCACTGCCTTAAAGCTACAGGACCTCTCTCCAGTTTTGACTCTAGTAGCCCTACTATCAAGGCCCAGAGGCCAAGTCTCTGCCGTGTGG